TCCACATCCTTGCCAGCTTGTGCTCAAACTTGAGGGTGTAAGATGGAATCTCAGGGTCACTTTGATTCTCATTTCCATGATGTCTAGAGGCACTGGACATTTCTTTTAAGTGCTTCTTGGCCATTGAGGATTTCTCTATCAAAAATTCTGTTTAACTCTGTACCCCACTTTTTAATTGGCATATTTGAATTGCGGGCGTCTTGAGTTCTTAATACATTTTAGATATCATCCCTCTGTCAAATGTAGAGTCGGTGAAGATCCAATCCGTGGGCTGCTGATTTGTCTTATTGATGGTGTCCTTTGCCTTACAGAAGCTTTGCTGTTTCATGAGCTCCCATTTATTGATTGTGATCTTAGAGCCTGAGTCATTGGGGTTCTGTTCAGCAAATTGCTTCCTATACCAATGAGTTCAAGGCTATTCCCCAATTTATGTTTTATTAAACTTATTGTATCTGGCTTTAATTTGAGTTGTTTTATTCACCTAGACTTGAGTTTTGTGCAGGGTAATAAGCATGGATCTATTTGCGTTCCTCTCCACGCAGACGTCCAGTTAGACCAGCACCATTTGGTGACGCTTTCTTTTTTCCATTGTATGGTTTTGGCTTCTTTGTCAAAAACCAAGGGTTCATACCGTTGGTGTGTGGCTTCATTTCACAGTCTTTGATTTGATTTCATTGATCAACATATCCATTCCTATACCAATACCATGCAGTTTTTATCACTATTGCTCTGTAGTACAGCTTGAGATCAGGGATGGTGATACCTCCAGAAATTCTTTTATTTTTCAAGATTGCTTTAGCTATCCTGGGTTTTTTGTTTTTCCATATGAAGTTGAAAATTACTCTTTTAGGTCTTTAAAGTATTGTGTTGTAATTGTGATCGTGTTGAATTACAGTGACTCTGTAAATTGCTTTTGGTAAGATGGCCATTTTCACAATCCTAAGATCTTTCCATCTTCTGAGATCTTCCTCAATTTCTTTCCTCAGAGACTTGAAGTTCTTGTCATACATGTTTTTCACTTGCTTGGAGAGAGTCACACCAAGATACTTTATATTATTTATGGTTACTTTAAAGGGTGTTGTTTCCCTAATTTCTTTTCAACCTGTTTATCATTTATATAAATGAGGGTGTCTTAGTTAGGGTTTTACTTCTGTGAACAGACACCATGACCAAGCCAACTCTTTTAAGGACAACATTTAATTTGGGGTGGCTTACAGGTTCAGAGATTCAGTTCAGTATCATAAAAGCATGGCAGCATGCATGGTACAGGCAGAGCTGAGAATCCTATATCTTCATCTGAAGGCTGCTAGGAGAAGACTGGCTTCCAGGCAGCTAGGACTAAGGTATTAAAGTCCATGCTCACAGTGACATACCTATTCCAACCAAGGCTACACCTGATAGTGTCACTCCCTAGGCCAAACCATCACAGGGGCTACTGATTATTATTATTGCTTAATTTTGTATCCAGCCACTTTAATGGAGGTGTTTATCAGCTGTAGAAGTGCTATGGTAGAGTTTCGGGGGTTACTTCTGTATAAGTACTTATACATAGTACTTATGTTACTATCATATCATCTGAGAATAGGGATAATGTTACTTCTTCATTTCCTCTGTATCTCATTGATCTCCTTTAGTTGTACAAGGATTTCTTTTATAACTTAAGAATACCAAGAGCTCCCTTATTGTTTTCATATCATCTACAGCCCATGCATCTTGATTATAGTCTAGCTTGTTAGGGGACAGGGTCTGTGGTGCTACAAACTGGATCTGAAATGCCACATGTTTTGAAATCTTGGTCCTCAGCCTGTGATACTCCTGGAAGGTGGTAGAAGAACCCTTAACAGGTAGGGCTCAGCAAAAGGAAGTTTGGTCACTAGGGTGTGCCCTTGCAAAGGATACTGGGACCCTACTCTCTCACTGTGTCTCCTGGACACAATGAAGTGAGCCTCTTGCCATGATGTTCTGTCTTCCACAGAGCAAATGACAATAAAGCCAGCCAGCCAACCATGGGCACAAACCTATGTATGAGTGAAATCAACCTTTTTCCTTTTAAGTCAATAGTTTGCATTTTATCACAACAGGAGAAAGATGGCACATCAGGCTTTTAAATTTTTTTCATAAGATTGTGCTGATATTTACAAAATATTATCAGGAAATGCTAATGGACAGAGTTTAGAGTTTTATTTGGGGATTGTTGACACACAATAAACTACTTTGGCTCCTGTTTGGTTGATTCTGACATACAAACACTGATAAGATCATCATTGCAATGAACATAACTCACCCACCTCACTCATGTTTCCTTAGATATGTGTAAGCACTTGCAAATTTATAGGCATTCTTTCTAATATTTACAATATTAAATTATTGGGCAGTTTTGGTACCTCATATGTATCATCACGGATTCAGATAGTCTTTCCAGCAATCACTCCTATGAGCTAAGATCTACTATTACTTCCATACCTTTAGAGTTATGAGTGACATTAGTTGAGGCCACCAATTTCTAGGAACACTCCATCCTGTAAGTGTAAGTTGGAGAGCTCAACTAATTCCATCAGGATCCACGCTCTGAATCACTTAGTGGCTTACTTTCTAGACTGTCCCAACAAATGGATACTTAAGGGTTACTTGATAACAGTGCCCTAATACATATACTTTTGGACTTTATGTAATTTTGCTGTTTATATTATAACATTATACATGCATGTATCATACATGCATATTGATATACATGCATAAAAATATCACATTTTTGTATACTGATAAATTTTTTAATAAAATAAAATGGCAACAAGCAAATTTATAATATGTCCTTGGGCACAACTGTGGTTGCTTTCTTTCAGGACCATTCTTTGGGCTGAAGATATGCCTCAGTCAGTATAATGCTTGCCACACAAGCACTAAGTCCTGAGTTTGCATAAACCACATAAAGTCTGGCATAGTGGTGCATCCCTGGAATCATAGAACTGGTGAGGTAAGATACATGAGGATCCCTGTGGTTTGCTGGCCAGCCACTTTAGTCAAAAAGCAAGTCACAGATTTAGTGAGAGACTCTGCCTCAAAACATAAAGAGGAGAGCTACTGAAGAAAACACCCAACATTGACCTTTGCTCTCCATAGGAAAGCATATACAAAAGCTTGTGCACACGTATACACACACATGCACACACATGTACACACATGCACACACATGCACACAGAACTATTCTATGATATTATATGTTGACTCCTCATGCATGTTCTCCAGATAGGACATAGAAATTCACATTCTCAGTACTAACACTTTAAATCTTCTGAACCTCAATTATACAATGTAAAAACAAGTGACCTTTTTTGTTTATTTGAATGATAGTGTGGGTAAAAATATTTTTGAATGTGTTTCTGGGACTGTTTTATCTTTTATGAAGTGTTTCTTCATGTTTGTCTAGATTTCTAGTTCGAAATTTAATAGTGGAACTGATTACATTTTTAAAAAAATGACCCATCAGGAATAAAGATATTGAACATGCTTCAAAAAGCAAGTTCAGAGAGAATAAGATAATGTGGATAAGAGAAATAAAAAACCAGAAAACCTATAATAATTCAATAGATGCGGAGGATATTGATAATCTCTTGGGGTTAGCCTGTATTTGCAGACAATGAAGAACAATGATATGAATGGGGTCATTGGAAAGAAGAATATGAAGGTCAGATCAGAATGGTTCAATGTCTGTAATTCCAGATAGAAAGTTCACAAAGGGAATATTCTACAAAGCTAATAGAAGCCAAGGGGGAAATGTCAGAAGACCACCACAACCATGTACAGTATCCACACACCCATATTTTGTGCTAAGCATCTGCTGTTAGGGTTCTGGAACCCTCTCCTGCCAACTCTCAGGTTCCAAACCTACTGCCCTGAGGTCCATTGTGGCAGAAATGAATTCTCCCCTGGACAGAAGCAGAACGGCTTCCTCACCTTCTAATCTCTTCCTGGTAGCTCCTATTGGTTGAACTTACCCAGATATCAATCTACAGGAGAGTTTGGGGAATGGGTCTTCCAAAGTGAAGATCACAGAGAGGCAAGACCAGATCTGAACATGGTTAGACCAAATCTTGCAAAAAAGAAAGGACCTAAGACAGTACCCACAGACTGTATAAGCCTTGCCTGGATGAAAAAAAAAAAAGTCTAGATTCTGGAGCTGTTTCAACTGTTGATGTGCTGAGGCCTCTTTCAGGCATTGTAGCATGAGGGCTTATGGTAGGCTCGGGATGCTCCCTGCAGAGCGGGCCCAGATACCCACCTCACAGAACTGCAGTGGTTAAATGGGTCAAGGGAGGGAGATTCAGAACAGGATGGAAAACATAAGCATCAGATAGTTAAACGATAACGATACTACAATCAGCACAAGTTTAGATTCATCACCTGCAAAGAAATTTTAGGTAAGAGGGGGGGTCAATTGCCTTGGTTGACTCTAGATAGGCAGAATTGATCATCACACTCAACACTGAGTCTGATTCTGGAAATGCAGAAAAAAAAATTAGTCCTGGCAGGTCATCAAATAGCTCATATAAGGATAAAAAGGCAAAATGTGCTCAGGAACAGAACAGACAAGGGTAAAAGCCAGGTGTGATGACTCAATGGACTCTCTTCAGAGTCACTGTTGTCTTCCTGTGATCTTGGAAATTCACTTAGTCACCAAAACCTCAGTTTCCTTCTCTGTAAAATAAATATAATTAAGACTGCCTCTAGAAGTCACTGTGCAGATTAAGGGAGCTACTCTACAGAGAGGCCGGAAGTGATTTCTGAAAGCAGTCTGTAAGAAAGGTAGGAATACGAAGGAGTTGCTGAATAGTCATCCAACCAGGACCACTTAGGCTTTGAGGGTAAAGTTAGAGAGCCAAGCAGGTTCCCACCTCAGGTGGGGGCCACAACAGGACACTTGGAGACGTCAGCGTCGTCGTTGCCCCTGGCAACGGCGTTCCTCTCACTTTGCCTGGTGCTGACAGCATCAACAAACAAGATGGCCATGCGCTCCTGGACCCCCGATCTGGGATTTGTCAACAAGAAGTTGGTGCGGCCAGCCTCGGTCTCCACAAGCCTGTCCCTGGAGCTATGCACCTTCCCCACTACCCTGGGCTCCTCCGTAGCTGCCAATGCGTTAGAGCAGCTTTTTGTTGTAGGTAAGAAGTTCCACTGAGGCCGAGGCCGGGAGCCACATCGCCCTTGGAGATGGTGGTCTGTCCGGCTCTTGGCAGGAGCCTGAGCAGGCATTCTTCTCCTGAAACCCAGAACATCGCTGGCCGGAGTCTCTTGCCTTCTGTTCCTCATTGGTAGGGAGATGAGCGACAGGGAGGGGCTAAGCGTTCATAGCATCTGCTCAAGTGCATCTGGGCTGATGAATCGCTATAACCACCGGGTGTCCCAAGCCATCAACTGGGACCTGCATGTCTGCTTTCCACTTGAGCCACTTATCTTTCCTTCATGGGTTTAAAATCTTCGAGCCTTTACCATGGGAAACTGGAGACTTTTTAAAAGACAAGTAGGAAATGGAATGCTTAAGAGGCACCTGTTTGTTGTAATGGGCACAGAAAATTAAATAAAAGACAGCGTTTGGGAGATTTGAACCAAAAATTATCTTTTGTAGAATCAGGCTAACATACTTGATACGCTTTGACTCTGTCTCCCACAGGCTCCTGTTGTACACGCCCGTTTCCGGGTTGTTGGGCTGGGTTTAGGAGGCTGTGAAACCTGCAGGAGGTAGGTAGGGCTCAGCTGAGAGACGCCTGTCACTGAGGAGAATGGGAGAGGACTTTGAAGATTTTTAATCAGCCTCTAGATCCTGCTATCTTTCTGGTTCTTGGGAACATCTTTCTCAAGCCCCTGCTGCAGTGAACTGAGGTGTTGCTGCTCTACCTTCCCCGTTATGATGTACTGGAACCCTCTAAACCCAAGTACAAAATTTCCTTCCCTAAGTTGATTCTTTTAGTCATTTTGGTCACAGCCATTCAAAAGTAACTCATATAACACTTATTCTGTTAGAAATCACAATCGGTTAGTCCAAGAAAGGGCATTTCTTCTTGAGAACGAAGGTGTTTAGGCTATGAAGAGCAAGTTTTCTCATTGTTTCATGTATTGCTTCAAAATAATCATAGCTATTTCTGTGAATGTGCTGCAGTTACAGTGATTTCTCTTTCACCTTCTTGGAGGACTGAATTTAATGTCACTCTTCTCATTGGATAAGCAGAGGCAAGTATTTCCATGAAAAATCTTAGTCGCTAATGACACAAATTAACTCTGCGTAGCCAAAGTCATTGTTAGAACTTGGAGCTTGAATTCTCTTCACAATCAACTCTAGATCAGCGTGTCCACACAACCCTGTTTACGTATGCACAAATATTTGCATAGGCTAATAACATCTGGAGACTTGGAAAGTTATTTTTATTAGAGTATCTTTTATTTATTTTTGTACTTGGTCACATGGTACCTTGATCATACCTATCCCTCACGCCTCTGCCACTCCTCTCAACACCCCTAAAATATCCTTTTCCCACCTTTATTATTTCTCTCATTTCTCCCCCTCCCACTTACATGGAGTCTATTAGTGGCATATCTAGAATGTTGACCGAGCTTGTTGTCTCCACATGTGCAGTCTTGTACAGGTGGCCATAGCCGCAGTGAATCTGGGAGTGCCATGGTCATGACTGGAAGACAGTATGTCACAGCTCCCTAGGAAGTTCTTCATAGGAAGAAACTTTATCTGCCCTCCCTTACCTGGATGTGGGAATCCCAGGACTTGTGAGGTGGAAGCAACATCATCAGAAGGCCACGGTTATCTATCCTTAGCCTGATAGCAAGTTGAAGACCAGTCTGGGCTACAACTAAAGTTATCTATAAATAAAATTCATCTAAAATAGATTTCTTTCTCTGAGTTTAGTTAGAAAGTCTACAAATCTCCAGCATATTTTTGAACAATAATAAACATGTGCTCACTTTTTCCATAAAGGAAAAAAGAAAGGAGACTGTACATGCTTGCCTTGTTAGCATACTTATTTGAAATACATAACTAGACAGAGCATAGTTCTATAGGAGAGTCCATGTTCCCTGGAACTGGGACAGGTGTTACAATTCATTCTGCTGAGAGGAGGAAATGGCTACTCGTGCGTGAGCCCCTGAATCTTACTGGTTGGTTCTAATCCTGCAATCTAATGCTGATTATGTCTGGGGTCTTGCACATAAAATATAACCTCAAAAGTCATAGATGAGTCTTAGATTCTCATCTATACTGTGAGAATTATTCTTTGTCATAAAACAAATATGTGACAGTACAGGGCTCTGGGTTGTGATTCAGTGATAGATCACTTGTCTAGCATAAAGGAAGTCTTAGCTTCAACTGGAAACAGTGAAAGAGAGAGAAACAGCGCTGGATACCGTAGGTAAATCATGATGCAGCACAAGAAACTGATCTCACACACATGGGACAGGCCTAAAACATGCAGAGTCTCTTGCTCTTCTTGATTCTTTGCCTTTGATTCTTTCTTATCATTCTTATTCAGTATATATCTTGCCTTTACTATCTTTGCTTGTATTTCACAATGTTCTCTTCTTAGTACTTGCTGCTTACAGACAGGAAGGTAAAGGAGACCTCTTTGAGTACATTGGTGAAAGGGGGGGATGGAAGGCTAATGGGATAACTACCCATTTGCGAGTGTGCAATCTCAGTCTTTGCTTCACATTTTTATACAGAAGTACATGACATAAAAGATTCCTTAACTAAAGTGATTTGCTGTGTGTTTCTGGAACAATGTAATTTTGTATTATATATATTATATATATACAATATATATAATATATATTCATACACATGTGTGTATAGATATAAAACATTTTTAAACCTACATTTGCAGACATGTTAGCTTTTTCTTATTTGTGATTATTTATTAATATTTCATCTTATTGAAGTGTCTTCTTCCCATCATAGGATATATGTACAAAGATGAATTTAATGAGAGATTTTCTCTAAGGATTGTGTGTGTGGATGTGTGTGTGTGTGTGTGTGTGTGTGCACTATGTAATAGGAAACATTAAAAGGAGATTCACAACATTCAATAGACAATCAAAATGGTCTAAGTTTCAACATTTGAACCGGATCATAAAGGGTGAACCAAGTAGCATTTGAACAAATATGTAAGATATCTTAATATTCTAATCTTTGTGTTTTCTAGAAAAATCTCTGCAAGGGGACTATTTCACGTGCAATGAAGAAGTTAAGACCTTTCTTAAGGACATTACTGTAGCTGTTAAAAAGCTGGTATTACATTATCTTTAATTTACTCTTTTTTTGGACTTTCACTTATACCTGCATTAACCTTTAATTTAGAAGTGAGTCTGTACAAGTTGCCTCAATAGGTGGACAGGGAAAATATTTACCCTGAGTAAAAATATAATTTTCTTCAATTTACCAACCACTGTCAGTATAGATTACTGCTCACGTTTTCCTGCAGAAAACTGAATGATGGAGCATGTGCTAAAGATAAAGACAAGCCAAAATAGAAAAGGCCACAGGGATGCTGAGAGAGCCCGGGTAACGGGTGGGCCATGTGGGCAGATGCTTACATAATATGTAAGCAATGGTTATACCAGCCAAACAACCAGCCAAGCAAGAACCAAAACCACTGGGTGAGGTGAGGTATGGTTACAAGGACCTCAACTTCCTGTAAGCAATTCCCTTCATGGGTGGTAGCCAGTTACTTAACATCTGTCTCATGGAAGCAGACAACTGTGTTATGGGACATCAGACATTCTTTCTATATTATAGGCCTGCTCCTAAGGAAGCCAGGTCAAAGGAATGTTCCCAAATTTCCCTCTGGACATATGTATTTGTCAGCTTTGGATGGTGGTAAAAATGCCTTCTCAACTGAAAGAGTAGTGTCTGTATTTGATCTTAAAAATGGCGAAGTCGATTACTTAGCCAATGTCTAAGAAGGTAGAAAGGCTGTAAAGTAAGAAACCTCAAGTCCATAGATAACTGACTCATTACTATATATTTCATATAATTATATACATTAATGTCATCATTCCACACAGCCTCAGGCCAGAATCCCTTGGGTGGATCCATAGAGCGTTGACACTCAGCATCACTGGCCATCCTTCAAGCTGCTGCTTTCCTCCACTTACATTTTTCTTAGCACATGTAGGAGTCAAGACTTTCATTGTGGCTAATTAAAGAATCTAGACTCCAACCACTTAACACCTGAGCCATGAAAATCTCTCAAGTAGCAGACATAAATTCCTCCATTTAAAAAATGACCAATACTTATTATTATAAAGGTAGTATATGCTTACCCTAGAAATTTTACAAACTAAACAAGCAAAAATAATCAAATAAGAACCACTGCAATTCCACTACTCTCAAATATGACAATTAACCATTTCCACATTATACCAATTATACCTGCATTGAACTTTTATTATTATCATTATTTTCAGAAACAATACCATGCTGTGTATACAAATATGCAATGTGATTTTCAGTTGGTAAAATGCAATGGAAGTTTCTCAGGTCATAAAATAGCTATAGCTTTATTTATTTAAGAAATGATTTTTTAATGTTTTCCTCCTTTTAAATGCACCTGAACCTAAAATCAAGCAAATAAATCAACCATCACAAGACTGTCAGATTTATAGAACTAAGCCAAGCATGGGAGGATGGAGAGATGGCTCAGTGGTTAATATCACTTGTTGCTCTTGCGGAGAATCAAAGTTTGGTTCCCAGGATCCATACTGTGAGTCACAATTCCAGTTTCAGGAGATCTGATGCTCTTTTTTGATTTCTGCAGGCACATATGTAGACATGGTACACATACGTACATGCAAACATACATTTTAAAGAGCAAAGAAAAGCATTGTTCTCTGTATTCCCACATGGGTATTTACAGGGAAGTTTAATTTTTTAACAAGTGGCCATCTTAGTGTTGACTCTTTTTTTGGAATCTTTTCATTTAGATGAATTGAAACTGGATACAGGAAACAGGTACACAGAAGGGGTAAAGGCTCTGAGTAAAGGAGAAGTCAACAGATATTAGAGATTAATCAGAAATGACAGATTAGATCTGCTGGAGACCTTCCTCTTTTCCAGTCTGACATGTTACAACAGCGTCAGGAAGGGTCTGGTAGAAATGATGTTTCAAGTCCCACGCAGAGAGATCCTGTCTTAAGAAGCAAATATTATTGCTTCACTGAGTTTGCATTTTTCAAAAGCTATTTGATTTTTTTCCAGGAAGAAATGCGAAAAAATACAATAGAGATGCTGGAAATTGAGAGCATGGAGTTGAGCAGACTCTACTTTCTGCTGGAGACTGTGCCGAACAGCATGCACAGGGAGCTGGAAGGTGCGTCTGATGGCGTAAGCTGTGGGGCTTTAATGTTTATCACAAGGATTTAATACTGTGCTTATTCAAGCATCAATAGAAAGATTACCTAATGTGAACACTGTGTTTTGTAGCAATCTCTCATGCTACTTTAGATGGACATAGTGCACTATAAGGAAATTCAATGTGCATAATTTTGCTGTTAAATTGACTAAAAAATAGGTCAGCCCATTTCTGATTAATAGTTACATACTTAAATTAGGCTCTGTGGATGTCCTAATCCACCATTCTACTTTTTGTTTATAGGATATTGGCAATTGTAGGTACTTCACATAAATAGTCCTGTTGTCTTAGTTAGGGTTTCCATTGCTGTAAAGAGACACCATGACTAAGGCAACTCTTATAAAGACAGCATTTAAATGGGGCTGCCTTACTGGTTCGGAGATTCAGTCCATTGTCATCATGGCAGGAACATGGCAGGCTGGCATGGTGCTGGAGGCATAAGCTGAGAGTTCTACATCTTGTTCCAAAGGTAAACATGAGAAGACTGACTTTCAGGCTGCTAAAAAATGAGTCTCTCAAAGCCCACCCCCACAGTGACATACTTCCTCCAACAAGGCCACACCTTCTCTAACTAGGACATACCTCCTAATAGTGCCACTCCCTGGTTTAGTTCCCTTAGCATAGTGACTGCAAGGTTTATTCATGTGGAAGTATGTATCAGATCAGCTTCCCTGCAAAGACTGAACGACTGAACGGCATTCCACTGTACATATCCACCAAACTTTACTTATTTGGCCTATCGCTGATGGACAGCTTCTGCCACCTTTGGCTGTTGAGAGTAACAATGTTTACAGTGTCCAAATGCTCATCTGAACTCTGTTTTAAATTCTTTTGGTCTCGGTGTCAATGCTGGATTGTATGATGATTCTACATGCAATTCTTATAAGATGACCTATCTTAGGTAGCCACCAGGAATACACAGGGTTCCGTTTCCTCCACATCCTTGCCAACACTTGTTATTTTCCGGTTTTGTTTGTTTTAATGAGATCTATTCTTCTATTCAGCATAAATTAGCATCTCGGGTTATAATTTGAATTTTCTAATGATCAGTTCCTTTAAGCATCTTTTTATGTGTTTGTTGGGTGCTGTGTTGTGTTGGGTGCTGTGTCTTTGTTGCTGTGTTTTTTGAAGAGAGATAGCAACCCATGCCTTTTGTCTTTATAGTATTGGGACTTTGTAGTTGTTGTCATTGATGGGTTGTGGAGTTTTTATTAGTGTCAACCCATTACTAGATATATCATTTTCAGATATGTCCTCCTGCTCAAGAGCTGGCCTCTGTTGATGATGACCTTTGATGAAAGCTTTTAATTTGATGATCTAACTTATTTTTGATTTGTTAGCTATACTTTTGGTTTTGCCTCAAAGAAATCATTCTCAAATCGAATGTCATAAAGATTTTAATAGATCTTGGAGAGATGGGTCAGTAGTTAAGATCACATGTTACTCTTGTAGAAGACTTGGGTCAATTCCTAGTACTCACATATAGCTCACAACCACCTGCAACTTCAGTTCCATGAGATCCAATGCCCTCCTGGCTGCCGTGGCACTATTACGAGGTATGGCCTCACTGGAGTAGGTGTAGCCTTGTTGGAGGAAGTATGTCACTGTGGAAGTGGGCTTTGAGAGAGCCTTCTTTTAGATGCCTGGAAGATAGTCTTCTCCTGTTTGCCCTCAGAACAAGATGTCTAACTCTCAGCTACTCCAGTGCCATGCCAGCCTGGATGCTGCCATGTTCTCACCATGATGATAACGGACTGAACCTCAGAACCAGTAAGCCAGCCCTAGTTAAATGTTGCCCATTATAAGAGTTGCCTTGTTCATGGTGTCTCTTTACAAGGTTCACATACACTCACATGGGCTCACTCACATAAAGAAATAAGTAAATTAAAAACAGAAAACAAAAAAAAAAACTGACTTCAACCCATCTTTTATCTGAGGGGATCTTTAAAATGTTTTGATTTGCATTATGTGGTCCCACAGATGCTAGAGGAGTGAGTACCATCCCATCACCAAACTGTATTTCCAGCCCCTAAGATTTAAACCTTTGGCTCTTACATTTAGCTCTTGGAATAATTTTTAGTTAAAATTTTAGTGTCAGACCAGGACCGAATTTTATTTTCTCAGCTGCAAGAAGTGTCAGCCAAGACTTGTAACTGAGTCCTTCTGCAAGAATCACCTTGAGCATAGAGTGCAGCTCCCCATATGTGACAGACAGAACCTCCCTGGGTTGGAGTTTATTCTGTTATCAGCTGCTATGGATCTCCTAGGCCAGAGTAGACCAGCTCTATACATCTTTGTGTTTTGACATCTCCTCTGAAGTCTTGCCATTTTCACCCCACCAGAGACATGCCTGAAAGTATTATACATTCTCTGCACACAAACCTTAAATTCTGTTTCCCAAGGACGCTACCTTGAAAGAGCGATTCAAATAAGAAATGGAAATTTTGTTGGTGTGTGTTTTATTTTTAGCTTTGGTTTTATTTGATTAAATCAAATAACCAGGGTTTTGTGTAACCTAGGCCTGTCAGCTCTGCCTCCCTTGTGCTGGGATTATAGAAAGGTGACAGACATTTCACCTGGCATTAAACAAGTGTTTTGTTTTTAAAGATAGATGTGCCAATTATCCACTTACTGAATCTTTGTTCTAAATTTGCATTTTGATATCTGCTTGACAGTAAAGGAGAGAAACCTCATACATTGCACCCTGTCTTAGTTAAGGTTTCTGTTTCTGTGATGAAACATCATGACCAAGGCAACTTGGGGAGGAAAGGATTAATTTCACTTACATTTCCATGCAACCGTTTATCATTAAAAGTAGTGAGGGCAGGAAGAGCCTGGAGGCAAGAGCTGATGGAGGAGTGCTGCTTCCTGGCTTGCTCATCATGACTTGATCAGCCAGCTCGCTCCACCACTCACAAATAAGAAAATGCCCAACAATTGGATCTCATGGAGGCATTTTCTCAATTGAGGTTCCCTCCTTTCAAATAACTCTAGTTTGTGTAGAGTTGGTGTAAAACTAGTCAGCATCCCCCCTGTGCCCTCCCCTTGCTAACTGATGAGATGTTCAGCTTAGTCAGTAAAGGACACTAGGAAGTATGATAAAGAGGGAAGAGTTTCTTTTTATGTGCCAGCAGTCAGCTTGGCAGACCCCTCCACTGCATGTGATACTGGTATGACTCAATCCTACAAGATCCAGTGGTTTTCAATGCCCAGCCTGTCCACTTCTCCCAGAACCCTTTGGGCAGCTTCATGCCAATGCCAAAGAGAGACACACTCTGTGAAGAGCTTCAGTTGACTTTCCTTGAGCAGTTATGTCCTGTCTGTGTGGACAAGTCCCCTGGCACTCTAGAGACATTTCCAGCAAATTCCAGCACCTCAGCAGTGCATGAATTACTTTGCCATTGAATAGACTACAGCCTTCTAGAGAGGTCTGCCTCTTAGGACTGTAGTGGTTCCTTGCTACTCTAATCTTCGGTTGTGACTAGTAGCTCTTTATAATCAACTTTTGTTGCTTAATTTACTATTTAACAGTCTATCCTCCACCTGTATGCTAACTGGTACAATAGGTTATATAATAAAGCAATGTTCTTAGTGCTACATTAGTTTGAAAAAATATGTCTACACAGGAAGAGAAGAGAAACTTAAAAGAATCTACATCAAAGAAATTGTTTTAAAATGTTCAGTTTTTTCAACTTTCTTCAGTTGTTTTTCTTTATTTTACAGATTGTTGTATTTATATAAATAGGAAAAAATATGTTAGTAGGAAAAAATATAAGCCATATTAGCTTGTAAGGCCTTTGATGCATGCTGTATGTGTAGCTGGAAAAGTTTATTTGGCTTTATATCATGAAGCCTTACAACTTGCAGTGTGGTCTGTGGACCAGCATCAGATACAGCAAGGGAAGATAAATTAGAAATCAGAATTTCCAGCCATCCTCCAGACCCTGATTGCCAGCAGAGCCTGCACTTGAACAGAGTTCCCTGCTGACAGACATGTATGTTGGAGGCACAGAATTTGAGAAGCTTGTTACCACAAACAATTTAACTAGTGACCTGGAAAAAAGATGTGTTGGGAATGCAGGTAGTAGTCTGAATCTTCTAGGGGAGCTCTCAGCTAGTTGCTTGGGATGCAGTTGTGTAGGAGTGCGTCGGCCCTTTGTCTGTCACATGCTGGGCAACTCTCTAGATTTTAGAGTCTAACTAAACCCTTGAAGACTTAGAGCCTTTAGGGTCTAAAGGGTCCCATGGTTGTACTAGTTTAATATTTATTTATATTGGATTCTCCAGAAAAGCGGGTCTGAGGTGATGGCTTTTGCACCATTACATTTTTAGGGTGTATAATCCAAAGGGAAGGGTGGAATGAGGAGACCAAGACAGGAGAGAAGGGAGAGCCAACCTGGAGTGCATTACAATGTTGGTTGCAGCTAGGCACAATTAATTAGTGATGAGAACACACCTCGGTAGAGTTACTTCTTCATGGCACCCACTGATGAGAAGGAGGAAATAAGTACCCATTCCTTCCTTCCTTTAAACAATGGTCCAATGTTTGTTCCTCCTGAGCTTTCTGAACATGCAAATATAAGAATGACACCTAAAGCAAATTCTTTGTTAGAGATGACGGGAAGTCCTAGGCAAGAGGTAAAAAGGGTGTAGGGCCAGTGGGAATCAGGTGCTGTGAGACTGTGTCTGTGAAGCTTTCTAGAGCATGGAAGCTAGTTACATCATAACAGCCACGGAGGTCCGTAAGACTGAGATGATCCAAAGTGGTAAATTCAAAGTGCTTGGTACAGAAACGTAATGAAAAGAATATGTCAATGAAAGGCAGTTCTCCTTGGGATAGGAAAAGCATCTGCTATTGTCCTCTTCCTCCAATGATGGTCAAATTTTCACTTACTTTGAAGAATGTATCTCAGAGGCTCGAAAACTCAATATCTTAGAGATAAGTCAAATGAGAAGAAAGATTGAGAAGATGAAAAGTGAAGTAAAGCTTCTAAACAGCGAAATAAGCGACCTGAAGAACATAAACGAAGTTCTGGGGTAGGTATTTCTTAATTTAGTATTTGAGAAACTGAGAATGTTCACTGCAAATGATGTGTTTATTTCCAAGCTACCTCCCAAGGTTGAAACTTAGAGTTTCTGCTCTTATAGAATTAAGTTTGCAAGCTCAGCCTGCTCCAATAATCCCTTGTTATAATTCTGTTAAGTACATATTAGACCAGTTATGTTCTATCCAGTTTATTTCATTAAAGATCTTCAATTGTACCTATAATTCAATAGGAGGATGAGGTTGGTTACCTGGAAAGAGTTCCAGGATTTGTGTATAGTTAAATGCAACTATGTATGTAACTGCCTATAGCTTGAGACCTGCTAGAACCCTTTCCTTATTTCTAAGCTGTTGACTTGGGCCAGTACTTTATCCCTGAACTTCACTTGCTCTGTCTGTAAAACGAAATTCAGAGCTCTTGACCCAACATAGTGTATAAGAGGAAGATTTACTCTAAAATGATAAAACAATATAAGGCTTGAAGAATAAGTTCTCACCATGAGCAACTTTACAAGACTAATGCATAGATATCAAAATGTTGATGTCCTATATTGAGAAATGTTCAAAGAACTCCCACCACCCCATCATAGTAGGGAAATTGGTGCACAGGGACTCATCAGATCTCAAGACCCTTGCACGTTCTTCCCAAAGTCGGTCCTCAGAACACCTGCCCTGGGAGAGGTGTCATGAATGAGGCTCATAAGATTGAGGAATAGTGAATATTCTAACCCCTACTAAGGATTCACAATGCAGTTTATGCATGGACTGCACTAGCCATAGTTTCCAGGGATAGCTATAAACTAGACTATTTCTAAACCAACAATCAGAAATGGAACATGAAGCTGGATACATCGAGTGATGTCCCATCATTCTGCTCCTGTAAATTTGGGCTTTGCATGATCCTGGGAAGGATCCTGAGAAGGCTTGTTAAAACATAGGGTCTGGCCTTCATGGGACCAAGGATCTCCTCTCCCACTTATGCCCGACAAGGCCATCCTCCCTTACATATACAGCTGAAGCCACGGGTCCCTCCCTCTGTGCTCCCAGGCTGGAGGTTTAGACCATTAAAAAAAGAAAGAAAGAAAGAAAGAAAGAAAGAAAGAAAGAAAGAAAGAAAGAAAGAAAGAAAGGAAGGAAGGAAGGAAGGAAGGAAGGAAGGAAGGAAGGAAGGAAGGAAGGAAGGAAGGAAGGAAGGAAGGAAGAAAAGAAGAAAAGATAAAAAACCAAAAAGACATAGGGTTTGGTAGGTCTACCAGGCAGTAGGGTGGGAATGAAGGTCAACATTTGTTTTAATTATTTTATTTGTTTACATTTCAAATGTTGTTGCCCTTCCCAGTCTCTCCTCCATGAACCCCTTACTCTCTCCCCCCTCCCCATTGCCTATACTCCCACCTCATCCCTCTAGCATCCCTGTTCTCTGGGACATCAAGCCTCCACAGGACCAAGTATCTCCCCTCCCACTGATGTCAAGGCATTCCTCTGTTACATATGTAGCAGAAACCATGGACAGTACATGTATACACTTTGGTTGGTGGTTTAGTCCCTGGGAGCTCTGAGGGTTCCAGTTAGTTGTTCTTCCTATGGGGTTGCAATCCCCTTCAGCTCCTTCAGTCTCTTCCCTGACTCTTCCAATGGGGTCCCTGGACTCAGTCCAATGTTTGTATTAGTCAGATGCTGGCAGTGCCTCTCAGGGGGCATCTATACCAGGTTCCTGTCTGCAAGCATATCTTGGCATCAGCAATAGGGCCAGGGTTAGATGTCTGCAGATGAGATGGATCCCTAGGTAGGGCAGTGTCTGGACGGCCTTTTCTTCAATCTCTGGCTCCATACCTCAACTGGGAGCCATGTCGATTTACTGGAGGTGGTCTCTTCAGGTTCTATTTTCTCAATTTGGGGCATTTCAGCTAATGTAGTCCCCATTGGGGACTATTGTGTCAATATCTTCTATGGTATCTTCTATGCCTGGGATTCTCTCTTTTATCTCTTATATTCTGTTGTTGATGTTTGCATTTGAAGTTCCTGTTCTTTTTTCTAGGTTTCGCATCTCCAGGGATGCCTCTCTTTGTGATTTCTTTATCGTTTCTATTTCCATTTTTAGATCCTGAATGGTGTTGTTCAATTTCTTCACCTGTTTAATTGTGTTTTCCTGCATTTCTTTAAGGGATTTATGTGTTTCCTCTTTAAGGGATTCTACCTGTTTACCTGTATTCGCCTGTATTTCCTTAAGGGAGTTATTTATGTCTTTCCTTAAAGTCATCATAATCTTTATGAGATGAAAATTTCAGTCAGAATCTTACTTTTCAGGCGTGCTATGGTATCCAGAGCATGTTGTGGTGGAAGAACAGGGTTCTGATGGTGCCAAGTGGCACTGGTTTCTGTTGCCTATGTTCTTGTGCTTACCTTTTGCCATCTGGTCATCTCAGGTGTTACCTGGCCTTGTTGTCTCTGAATGGAGCCTGTTCTTCTTTGTAAGAAGTTGAAGGTCTGTGAGCTGGGTTAGAACAGGCCTTCTGGGGGCAAACAGTAGTCTCTGGTTGGGGGTGCCTCCTGTGTCCCTAGTTAAGACAGGCCTCCTGTGGCCCTGACTACAGCAGATCTCCTGTGACCCTGGCTAGGGCAGACCTCCTAAGCATCAAACTATCTCTGGGTATGGGCAAGTAGGCTGGAGCACCCAATTTGCCCAGGGCCAAGTTGCAGATCAGAAGATTGTCAACATTTCTAATAGATTCCAAGTAACACTTATCTTGCAGGTCCAACACAGCAGAAGAATCTCTGTTGTAGGTAAATTTTTAGGGAAAGATGAAGTACAAATAGAGGGTGGTGGATTGATGAGATGGAACCATAATCATCACCTGTTGTTTCTATGTTTTCAAGCAAGATGCGTTATACAGGTCCTCACAGGCTCTAATGACTTGTTGTGAGACACTTCCATCTCCTCACTGCTCAGCAACTAGAAAGTATGGAGGCCTTTATGTATGCTTTCCTCAGGCCTACATCCTGTTTTTGAATGCACTCTCCTTAGACTACCACCACCACCACTATAACCATGACCACCACCACCACCATGATCACCTCAACTACTACCATCATAACTATCACCTCCACCACCACAACTACCACCATGTCCACCACTAACATTACCACCATGACTACTACCACCACAACTGTCACCATGACCACCACTCCACGATGACTACCACCCAACTACAACCATCACAACTACAACCATGACCACTACCACCACCATGACCGCCAAGACTACCACCACTATCACCATGACTACCACCACCATGACTACCATGAATAGTTAGGGTTTTTTTTATTTTGATTGATTTGGTTTCTTCCTTGGACTAATTCTCTGTCCAGGTTTCCCATACTTGGCTCACAAAGTAGCTACTAACTCACTCCCTCACCAAGCTCCTTTGTACTTTCTATTATATCTCTTTTGTGATGTTTTGTCTCAAAAAAAAGCACCCCAACAGCCCATGACTACTTTCCCAAAGCTTCAAGTACCCCTTTCCTAACCCTAAGTCTCTAACTGGAGCATAAACACTAGGAAAGGTTTTTATGTTCCAAGAGCTTTTAAAGTGTGACACAGAGAAATGGCATCAGTTATTCCCTCTTTAAATATTTGTGCTCCAGGTTTCTCCCAGAATTCTGTTCTTCTTCAGAAAGGCGTGGTCCATAGTGCATGCATGAGGTACACAACTCATTTTGTGCTCAGATCTAGGGGAGAAGATGAGAATCAGGTCTCAAGCATCATCTGAGCAGTAGAGATGGCTGTAGCCTCCTCTTTCTCTAGGTTCTGTCCAGGGGAAGGCTAGACTTCTCTTGGGCCAACCCTTGGAGCTATGGTATCAGGGTAACTAGAGATGTAATAGAATGATAACCTTTCTTGACTTAATGACCTGCCTGGAAACATCCATTGGGCCAGATTCCACTCACTTGTTCAAAATGACTTTTGACTCATCTTATACTTTAAGCCAAAATAATATCCTGGTACAAGGGGCTAGATAGGGTGAGATGGGGCCAGGTGACTGACATTTTAGCAGTGGCTTAACAAGTTGCAAAGTGGACACTTATCCTGTTACCTTATATCCTTATTGAGTTTAAAGACAATGGAAAGTAAGTATGCTTTAGAGCATTCTTCTGATGCCACTGTAGAGTCTGAATTCCTTCCTTTACTAAGTGCCAAGACTTCCTTTTATGCCAAGACTCATTCTTTTCTCCTAGAATAAAGCAAGCAGAGCTGGCGAAGCAGCATGCAAAGTTTGTCCTGATGCTGAACCAAACCTTGGAAGAGAAAGCCGTAGCCACTATCTACATAAATGACACCTATACCAGAATAAACTTTGAGAAAGAAGAGATAGGACTCCAAAAACAATGTCTGAAAGAGGCATCTGGTTTAATTGAAAAACATAAACAAGAGTTTTTGGAAAAGAAAGAACATTTGGCTGTCCATGTAAGTGGTGAGCTTTAATAGTTTTCAATCCAGAATTGTCTTGACTCTGAGGCAGCAATGGGACATGTTTTCTTTGTCTTCATGGCTAGCTGGTAAGTGCACATTATGATTGGCCTTGGGGAACTTCTGAACAGCACTGGTGTGAGAAACTCATGGCTTGTTTGTTTCTTTTGTCTGCGGAGCCTCTTGGAGAAGACATTCGGTGGTGCACATTCATTCTGCTCACAGAACAGAGTCCATGGCAGGATCCACGTCTCTTTAATGGCTTCATGTTGATGTGGAGATGAGGAATTTGCCACCTCCTTTTATCAAGTTCCACTTTTGTATAGACAGAACCTAGGAGTCAGGCAGAACACCTGAAATGCCCGCTAGTCCAGCTGCAGCAATCCGAGACAGGAGTAGTCTTTAGCGGGGCTGCCAGACTCTAGTATGCAAAAAGCAAACTGTATTATAAGGCCAGAAATTTCCAGAGGTCAGGGGCAGAGATAGTCACTGCCTCTCCTGCTCCTGTAGAGGCTGCACACTTGCTGTGCTATGTTGATTGAACTCACTGTCCAACTCTTCTTTTATTTCTCAAGGTGCCTTGGATGCTCTGGGTGGAGCTGTCTCCATTCTTACTGGACAGAAAGGAGCTAGGCTCGAGATGGAAACAGCTGTGTTGCGAGTAATGATATAAACATGCTCGCTCCTTTGCCCAGCTTAGCTCCACCAGCGGCCTCCCTGGTGTCATTCAGCTCCACCAACGGCCAGGAGCTGTGATCACTTCCCCAGCCCCTTATGTCTAGCTTTGCCAAGCCACCGACAGCTGCCCCGGCTGCCTGCTCTCTCCTCCTGCCCACCTTTGTGCTGTGGATGGAAAACACTAGACAGTCTTATTATTTTAAAACTAACTAGATAACTCAATGGCTGAGCAAGGAATTTCCTGCCCCAATCTTATCAATTAGCTTCCTCCATCCTTCTTGACTCCTGCTCACGGCAGAGGCTACAAACTCTAGGGACCCCAAGACCTATATGTCTGCAGCTTCCTCCTCCTTCCGAAGCCTGGTCTGAAAAACCTTTCTCTGCATCCCTTATCTTCTTCTTGGGACCCAGAAGTCCCACCTTTTTCCTTTTGCCCAGCAATTGGCTTCCACCTCTTTTATTGACATAATCAAGAACCAATTAGGGAATCAACACCCCCCTACACACACACACACACATAGCTGCAGAGCTTTTGTTGTGTCCTTTCCAAATGAGAGTCTACCTGAGCTCAGGAACTGTCTACATTTAGACCCTGAACCACCAGCTTCCACATTCAGACCCAGGAAATCAAGCAAGCTTAAATGATGCAGCATTAAATAGGAAGAAAGAAGGAAGGGTAATTTATTACACTGCTTTTTAAAAATTGTATGGGTTTTTTCCCCTAATTTTCAATAAAATATCTCTATCAGCAAATTTCACACATACATATGTGCACCCTGGCGCAATGACTATTATCATATTGGTTCAAAGTACCTGCTCTCCCACAAAGGGTTGGTAGCTTAAAGGGAAAGACAGCCAGCCAGACATAAGTGGTCACAGAGTTTAACCCACTGTGCTACCTTATGTCTTTCTGTTCTTTGTTACCTTGTTCTTGACCATTCAGTTTGCTGAAAAAAAAAGTTTAATTTTTAGTAAGAGTCACTCATTACTCCAGAGTCTGACATGTGACAAGATGTTTGATTTTGGTAAAAACAGAAAAAAGTATCCAAGACTATAAGCTGTCCTGTCTTCAGTGACGCTGCACATGGCACTCTGAGCTGGGTTTTATTTTCCATTAGGTAGTGTGAAGTGGGGTTTCTAGACAACTGAATACTTCTGATTACTACTTTCTCCATTCCCCATATCTCTGTAGTCATATATGTGAGGTTCATTGCTGTGACATAGTTGCAGTAAGGCACTGCAGTGGCAAGATGCTTTTATCCATTCTTAGCAGTGGTCATTGCCATATTGCTCCTATAAATGTACCACCAACATCTTATAGCTGCAGTCTGACCCAAAGGGTTCATGGTTTTGTCTTTAACATTAGGAAATAAAAAAATCCTGGTTTCATTTCATTCTTCTTTTAAATTGTTAGTTTACTTAGATTGAAAATGGCCTGTTTAAATTGAATATTAATTAGGCTGACAAGTTGAAAAATCTTTCTCTGATGTGCTAATACTTTTAATTGGTTTACTGTTGTTACTGTAGATTAAGGAGGTGAAGCAGTCCTGTGAGGAACGGAGAAAAGAGGCATATTTGAAGAGGAAAGAATTGACCAGATTGCAAAATAAAATAATAAAAATGAAGCAAACGGTTACTTCCAGCTCAGTGGTAAGAAAAAAATAAACATCATCTTCCTTTAGCCCAATTTGAACACAGCATTTTTTTTAGGTTTATTTAAATCATCTTCCTGCTATTCTGAGAGCATTTCCTAACACTTCCTTTAAAGTATTACAGCATGTACAAGTTATACTTAATAGACTAAAATACCTTGAAAATGATTTTTAACTGCATATAGAACTAGCTAAATATATATTAATGCCTACTAACCTTTTATCTCAATTAGTCGAATGAATGGATCTGTAATACATTTCTTCAGTGTATATCAAAAATCACATGCAAAATCACACAATACAGTAGTCATACGGAAGCAGTATATTTTTCTGCCAGAATGCATCACTAATTCTATCATATGTCACATGAGGTGCATATGTTAACCTTAATTATGATATGTCCATGATGGCATCTAATTATCATAACATCAGTAGAATAAAATACTCCTCTCGCCTATGTGTTTAAAGAGGCCGTCATCTAATTCTAGGTATCAACACAATAAAGATGCAGAGATCAGATGAGGCTTAAGGAAAATTGGTAAACAAAGCTTCATGCCATCCGCATGCCCAAGCTCATGCCCCCCACTTGAGTCTCATAAGGTACAAAGGAGCACCCCACCAATCTAGTTTTGATCCAAGATTTCTAAGGTCAAGTTAGGCAGCCATAATAATCTTACCCAGATCCTGTTGCCCCCCCTGCCACCATCCCCAAACTTGAATGTCACATCAACCTGGATTTAAAGCCTGCCTCTTCCAACCTATGAAGTGGAGACATGAGGTAGAATATTGCCCAATATGGTGGATTTTTGTGGAGATTCCCAAATTACAGACAGAGGGAAGTACAGCCTAACAGACACATGAACTCTTCAGTCTAGACACCTCTGTGGCCAGGTCAGACTGATAGAACACTGGCAGAAAAAGAACTGAATGTGATTCTTTGAACAGGATACCTATTCAAGGCAGGGGTGGCTGAGGGAAAAGACAATGAATACTAGACCATGTGCATGCACTTTTGCTAGTATGTACAATTTATGAAACCCAGACTGGAAAATATGAACCTGGACAATGAATATCAGGCCTAACCCTGATAATTGATGCAATCATGTGATGCTCTAAAGAAACTGAATAATTTTTGCCCTGCTGGATGGCTTTCTAGAGAGCTACTGAATTAACATCTGTCCTCAAAGTGGTACTACACCAATCAGCCAAACAATGTCTCATTCAATTTTATCTTGGTGAACAAAAATGGGCTTATTAGAGGAGACATGCACACGCCTGTATATGAATACATACATACATACATACATACATACATACATACATACATAGATTTTTCTCACTACTGCATTTAGTCATCTATTCCTTCAAAATTCGGGTTTTCTGTTTTGTTTCAGAATTGTTTTTTATCAAGTTAAGTTTCACAACAACAGCAAAGTTATAAAAGTGATGTATTTTGTGACTAAAGGGTGACCCCAGCATAGTAGTTGAATGAGTGAGTTATAAAATGCTTAGAGAACCTGAATTACTGCTGTGAACCCCGTGCTGATAATTGGATGTCATATTGTTATTGAATTTTCAATAGATAATTAGTGACCAAGGTATAGAGATAGCGCGGCTACAGGAAGCAATAGCTATTTGGAAGAAAAAGGTAGAAGACATGAGGAGAATTTGTGAAAGTCTGGAGGAAAAACTGTAAGTGTGGCACTTTATGTTTACGGGAGCACTTCTAGATGCTGATTAGTCATTCTTTTTTAATTACCTTAACATATTACCTGGTATAAGCAATCTACATTAGATTATTAGATTATAGTCTGCATTATAAAGAAGAGACATACTTCTTTTGGCTTACAGTTGTAGAGGCTACAGATCATAGTCACACGACCCCACTGCCTGTGTAGAGACAGTGTGTTTGTGAGACTAATGCACGGCACAGAGAACCCACTTACAACATAGGGAGCAAAAAAAAGGAGGCAAGCAAGAGACTGTGGGTCCCCAGTCCCAGTCAGGGACACGTCCAGTGCCCTTAGACCTGCTCTGAGCCCCGTTTCTTAAAGGTCCTACAATCTCTTACTATTACCACCCTGAAGACAAAGTCTTTAATGCACATTTGGGAGACAAGTCAAGGTTCAAAGGGTAACAACTAATATGTTACTTTCATTCTCAGAAACACATCTTCAATATTAAATGGAACTATATTTAGTTTACTTACATCTGTGAGGCGGTTTTATGGTGTCCTCTCCTTACTTTGAAGTTAGTCAGCTTTTCAGATGATTGTGGTTTGTAGTCGAGGGGAAGGATGGGGTTTCAGTGATGCAGATACTTGGAAACTGAAGGAGTTCTTTCGAATGTGTTAAACTCACTTCAGCTCCTCACTCTAAACCAAAAACAACAACAAAAAAGAAATTCCTACAGGAAAGGTCATTTGGTGGGGAATGCATGAGTCTGTAACACACCCAGCCATACTGTTATGCTTGCTTTATACTTAGTCAAAGGGTCCTGCATGATTTGCTGAGAAAATGCAAGGAAGCCTCCCACACAAACCACTGCTCTATAAGGAACCACACCCAGAACCTGAAGAAACTCTCTCTTTTATCCCAAAACATCATGATCTGCTTCCTTTGAAGACAAAAAAAAAGGGGGGGGGATTCATCCTTCTGTCTTTACCTGTAACCAGTTCTCTCTTCTTGGTGAGCACATGTAAATATCTGACTGGGTCAAAACTTCTGAAATGAACTGTGACAAGTCTAGCCTGTCAGCCACAATTGACCAGCAGACTCTATGAGTTCATGTTGGAATGTATTTGGCACAGCTTTGCTTCCTGGGCTAGTCAGGTTGAGCCATGCCCACCCAGGTGATTTACTAACAACTGGGGAGATAACCTGCAGTCTGAGCATGCTCCTAAAAGACAAGTAACAACTAATTTTATGATAAAATCATTTGTACACATATTTTAATGCTTTTTAATTAAATTGTATCTTCTAAAACAACAGTAGAATGCAGAGCTATCATGGGTACATAAACATGCACAGATTGATCCTCTGTCAGACATGTAGCTGATAAAAATTCTCTTATTTCATGGACTTCTTCTTCATCTGGTTGCTTGTTTCTTTAGCTGTGCAGACACTTTTTAATTTTATGAAGTTCTACTTGTCAACTGTTGGCCTTAATTCTTGGGCAATTGAAGTTTTTTGTTCTTTGTTGTTGTTGTTGTTCTAGTAAGTCCTTTCCTACGTCAATATCATATAAGGTTTATCTACTTTCTTCTAGCAGTTTCAGTGTTTTAGGTTGCACTTTTGGGTCTTTGATCCATTTGGAGTTAGTTTCTGTGCAAGGTGATAGATACAGATCTAATTTCAGTCTTCTGTACATGAATGCTGTTCCCAGCATCATTTGTTGAAGAAGCTTCCCTTACTCTGACATATATATATTCAACTATTAATTGTTTGAAATTACATGTGTTCATGTTTGAGCCTTCAGTTTTGTCCCATTGGTCTACATGTCTGTTTTTTGCACCAGCACCATGTTGTTTTGATTACTATGGCTTAAAATCTGGAATTATAATCCCTCTAGCATTGCTTTTTGCTCATAATTGTTTTGGCTGTATGGCTTTTTGCATAGTTCCAAATTAATTTTAGCATAATTTTTTTTCTGTTTCTTCAAAGAACAAGCTGGGGATTTTGATTGGGATTATACTGAATCTACAAATGGCTTTTGGTAGAATGGCTAGCTTTTAGAAACTTCTTTTTATTCATCCGTTGTAGTAGTTGTCTGGGAGGCTTACTGATTCTGTCTACTAACCTAGCCCTAGTCCTGGAAGCTTCTAGTCTCTGAACAATTTAAGCCTAGAATGTTTTTGGCCTCTGAAACTGGCTGCTGAATAAACTCACCTTTTCTAGTTCTTTCTGAGCTCTAGCTGGCTGGTTCAACCGTACTGTTTCCAAAAGCTCAACTATATTCCTGTACTGTATTCTCTTCTTCCTATACTATATGTCTCTCTCTTAAGTACCTTCCCTTTTTTTTTCTCTTCTAATGAGGATTGGGCATATCCTATTCTGTCCAATCTTTCTCTGATTCATCACTTTTTCTACCACTCAATTAGACATCACTTTCAAGCATGGGTGCTTCCTCCTACAAACTAACTTTACCTTAATTGTTTGGGAATAAAGACATGTACTAAGGCCATGTCTGTCTTCCTGCCACAGAAATTAAAGGTGTGTGCTAAAGACTGAGCCACACCCTAACTAAAAACAGGTTTGAATATCCTATAACACATTTTCACAGTGTTAATTCTACCAATTCATGAGTATAGGGTTGATATTTGTTTTCCATTGTCTATCTCTCTCATCAGAGATTTAGAGTTTTCATTGTAGAGGTCCTTCACTTCCTTAATTAAGTTTATTTCTAGATATTTTATTTTCCTTGAGGCTGTTGTGAATGGAAGTGTGTCCACAATCTCCTCTCTTTCTGTTTATTGTTGTTGCATATTAATACTGTTGGTGTATGCAGGTTGATTCTGTATCTTGCCACATTGCTAAATTTGTTTATCATTCCTGGAAGTCTTATGGCAGAATTCTTGGGATGTCTAATGTATAGTATCATATCCTGTGCAAATATAATCTTGTCAATAAAAAAGCCTTTGGCCAATGAGCTGAGGCAGGGTTAAAAGACTGGACATCTGGCAGAGGTGGGGGTGGGGGGATTATCGGAAACAGTGAGGTGCAAGAGATTGACCCCAGGGATGCTGATGGAACAGACACATGAGAGCTGAGCAGAAGTAACCAGCCACATGGCAGACCTTAGATTACAGTAAACAAGGTATTAAGTTATCATCTAGTCAAGGAACATATAAAACTTTGGCCTAGGCCATTGTAAATATAATTAAGTCTGAAAATCATTATTCTGGGAAGGAAAACATGCGGTTACAGATGGCATCTATTGTCCAGCATGTAATCCAAGGTTAGAACAATGGACTCAGGCGATGAGAGCAGACCAGAAAGTCAAACATGGCCCCTTTAATAACCACCACACCTGCTGGCTGAGCACTTAAGCAGAGGCCTGTGAGGAGCCAATAGAACAGGGAACTGGAGCAGGATGCAAGTCCTAGCTAAGGAGGAGACTAAATTCACTTTAGAGGGAGCAGAGGGAGCTAGGCAGCCCTTGGGAAAGCTGCCTCCCAATTCAGGTCCATGTAGGAGAAGCACGCTGTGGCCTGGAGTGGGAGGAAGTCAGAGGGCAAACAGATGTTCCAGCCCAAACCAGCAAAGGCAGCTGGCCTAAGGGGACAGGCTCAACCAGGCATGGGCAGGAGCTAAGCTGAAAAATAACAGAAAGAGAAGCTAAACACAAACTGAGAAGCCTCAGGTCTCTGAACTGTGAAGTTTGTAAGTTTGGAAAATAATAAAAGAGAAAGGTGCTGGGAGACACAAGATAAGAAATACGTCATTTGAATGTAAGAAAGTGAAGTCCTTAAGGAAAGAATTAAAACTTAAAAAAAGAAAAATATCTCGTGTTAAAAAATGGAGAGTAACACAATGTATCTTGACTCCATATGATTCTTTTTTGCTTGTCAGCATAAAATAATTTTTTCAGTAATGATTACAATTTTGTATACCCTCTTTAGGAGAGATCAGAATGAGGCAGACTAGGAAAAAGAAGAAACTGAGAAAGTAGATATAGGTTATAGGCCATAGAATAGAGATTAGAGGGTCTGGAATAACAGAAAAGGTAGTTCTAAATGAGAAAAATCCACTAGGTTATCAGGAGTTAGAATGGGTGTTGGAATAAACAGCATCCTGGACAGAGTACACCAGCGATAGGTCTCATGTGGGAGGTTTTATTGACAGAGGTGGCCCCCAAGGCAGTGAGAGGGAAAAAGAGAAGAGGCTGTAGGTCGGGGGTTGGGGGGTCAGGGTATGTGCCTTTTATCTTTTATCCAGGCCATGATGCATGACTCATGCACAAAGGGATGTGCAGCAGGTGCCATGGCAACAGATGCAGGAGCTACACTGTCACTTAGAAATGACATGTCTCATCGCTGGGTCCAGGAGCTGACTATAAAGAGCTTCTGGCTGTACACGGATGCACCTCATGCTAACTAACAACAGCAGTCCATAGAGATGCAACATACAGTGTTAAAAATACAGATTCTACTTAATGATGATACCCTAGAGCGATGTTATACAACAGATTATGTGTTTCATCTTCTAGAGTTTGGAGAATTGAGATACATACACATGTTGATGCACCATGTTACTGATACATGTTCAGAGAATTCTGAGAAGGATGCTTCTGAGATTGCAAATTTATTAGAGATGATGGCCATCTTGGATATGCTTTTGCAGATTAAGGCTGATGATGCTCAGACATATATATTCATTAGAACAGACAACTTGTTAGACATTAATAGCATAGAACATGTCACAGACATGCCTTGCAGTCTTATAAACAATTGTGGAGAGATCTAACAGGACATTAAAGAAAATGCTCAGCCCCTTTGACTAGATCTGGCCTTGTTCCTCTGTTCAGAGGAGGCTTTCAGGAAACTGAGAGTTTTCTGCCTCCCTATGGGAATCTTTAGGGGCCCAAAACTAAGCAGATTGGAACTCTGTCTGACCACCCATCCTAATTGGATCTGCCCATCCTAATCGGATCTGGGTCTGCCTGGGACACAGCCTTCAGAATTCAGTCCAACC